GTGAGCTGTTTGACCCAGATGAGGGCACGGCATCATATGACTGTGAATTAAGGCCTGGGCTGGCTATGTCCATCCCAATACTCAGGACTGCAAGATTTCCTTCCTCTGGGCAGAGGAGACCAAGAGGCTCTGCTTCCTGGGGTTCTGCAGTCCCAGTCACTCCCCTTTGCCCACTGGCTGGCTGTGCGAGGGAAAGTTAGCTAACTGGCTTTCCTATTTGCAGGTCTCAGTGGTTCTGGACATTTGGTTCCTACTGGTAAAGGGCTACTCGGCATGTCCAAGAAGATATCCAAGTGAAAGAACAACCTGAAGTCTAATTATTCCCCAACAGACACTACACACACTAGACAAACTCCCCAACAACTTGAGAGAGGACACCCTCAAAAAAGGCTCCGAGAGATCCTATCTGCAGAAGGCGAAGTCTGCAAAGAGGGACCGGAAGTGTGTCTATTTATGAGTCATAGCTACCGGTGACCAAGTCCCTAGTGTGAGGTGATACTGTGCTGATACCCTTCATACTCGTGTCCCTGGATGTCCTGAAATCATTGTGCCCACTTAATATGGGAGGAAACTGAGGACAGAGGGGCAATGATGAATCAGATGACATGCTAAGTAGCTGGTAAGTGATGTTCTGAGCCTGTTCTGTTTAATCATTTGATGTGAGAAGAAAAACAAATATGCTAGATCAAACCCAAATCTCCAGGGATGAGACTTTGTCCCTACTTCTCACCCTTCTTTAACTTGCCCCTGCCTGATGGCACATAGAAATGATGAAAGACACAGAAACCCTCTGCAGGTTCTGCAGCAGGATTCAGGAAGGGAACACAGGTCACTTCTCTCTCCAAAAAGAGTGCTGACAGAGGAAATGGGCACTTAGGGCCTGAGTGCCCCCCTGGGCCCTGCCCACCAGAGGCCCTGTGGGACTTCGGTCCAAGTCCAAACTTGAGCTCTCTGAGATGCAGATCCCTGTTTAGTGGGGTAGGTTTGTGATGCCCGCTCCTAGGCTGCCCATAGACATGAAAGGCATAAGGCAAGCTCCTCGTTCAGTGTCTGGAATCTTACAAGTGCCCGGGAAGATCGAGTTTATATCCTGTTTTTAGCTATCCTCTGCCCAGAAATCCCAGGCTGAGATCTTTGGGAAACCATGTCTCATAAGAAGAGTAAGTTTTGCTGAGCACTCACTCTGTAACAAGTCCTGCTGCAAGCACTTCCAAGTGCAAGCTCACTTACATTCACACCACCATGAGACAGGTGCCTTGCCAACCTTGTGAGGCTGCGGCCCAGAAGAAACTGCTAGTTTATTCTAGGTCACACAGCTACTTAAGAGCAAAGGTAGACTGAACTTAGGGAAAGTGGCCACTGGAACTGAGCTCGAACAATTGCAGTACTGTAGGTGCCAGGTGGGACCGGAGATGAAGTGAGAGCCATGTTACTACACGGACTCTTTCCAACCTAGCCCCACTCTTTCGGAGGGGTTGCGTGAGAAGTAGGAAGTGGAGGCTACAGCAGGGAGGGGAAGAGACTCCAGAGAGTAGCCAGCAAACTTAATCCATTCCAACATTTAGAACAAAAGAAACAATGCTGGCAGGCTGAGGTGCTGGATAGGATTCAGGTAAATCCCTTTCTCCTTCTGAGCAGGAATTCCGATCCCTGAAGGAAGGGGAGTAGGAATGGGGTGGGAGGAGGGCAACACTTGTGGGGTCCACACTTCACTTATCTAACAGGTCAGGAGAAACTTTAACAAGATTAACTGCTGCTCAGGGCCTCTGCTCCATGGAGAAAATCGAGCCTATTGTTTTCTTTCTCTTTCTTCCCGATGGAGGGGTGCGGGGGGCACAGTTGGGGATGAGGAGCAGGGGTTTGGATCTGGCCTAGTGTGGTACAAAAGCAACTGGATGTGTCAGAAGCAGCTCCCCCTGCCCAGCTTGAAAGGGAGCTTCTACTGCTATTCGGGAGGGCTGTGGCCCGGGTGGTGGTCTTTGTGGGGTGAGGAGGGGGGTGTTTATGAGCGGTCCTCCCAGTGGAGTAGGGGGCAAGGCCTGGAAGTGGAGATGCCAGGGGTTAAATCCCACTTCCCTTTACCAAGGAGTGCTGTCATCCGCATGCACCCCACATCTCTCTGTGTTTCTTTCAGCCCATTTGGTCAAAAGGATAACTACCTTGGGTAGCCTGAGTAGACCCTTCTCAGAGTAACCTTAAAGGACTCCTCAGTGCTAAACAAGTATTCATTTCTGTCCAGGGCACTCAGGGGCATCCGGCACACATGTACTTTCTAACTTCAGCTTTGTTTTTGCCTGTAGAAGCCTTTCCTGCTTTATTTATTAATATACAGATATTTTCTCTTTCGCTTTCAGGAAAATAAGAGCCATGTTTTCTGAGCTCCAGAAGCAAACTGCTCTTTTCCCCCTTCCCCACTGCTTTTCCAAACCCCTGTCTGAACCCATGTCAGCGAAGTTTGAACCAGGGCAGAAATAGCATCCCAGGCGGGCAGATCTGGGAGAACACCCACCTACCAGGAGCGTCAAGGCCTGCCTCCCTCCGCCAGACGACAGACCCGGTTAACAGCACCGTAAAATTAGACCTTTACGAAACCCAATTGAATCCTGCAGCAAAGAGTGATGTAAGGAAGCCTGGCTTGACAACGAGGCAGCAACCCTCTGCCTGAAATAGCAGTGTGGTCCCTGCTGAGCGATGACTGCTCTCAAGATAGGTGACCAGGGATTCCTGAGAAGGCGGTGATGCCCAGCTAGAGAAAGCCAGCAGAGGTCAGGCAGCAACCTGGGCACCTGAGGTCACAGCTGGAGGATGTGCCTGGGTGCCCACCTTGGATCCCTCTCTCCCAGCCCTAACTTCCATCCGGGAGGGAGCTGAAAAAGTACTTCTGCAAAGAACCTCTGTTTGCTTTTTAATTCAAGGAGAAGCAGGTTCTTTTTAGTCCAACCGTCTGTACAGTGTGGAGGATACTGCAGAATGAGTCTTTTCTGGCACGCAGCCAGGTGTTTACACACCGCCAAATCTGGCTCGGACTCAACTAGGGGAGGGGAAAAAAATCCAACAGAATCCTCGGGAGAAAAGCTCCTGGCTTTCTGGTGCTACACGACAGCCGTGCCTTTTTTTTTTTTTTCGTTTTGAGAGGAATGTTATTTCCACACATAAAATGGACCAGGCATTTTATACAAGCAATAATAACCTAACGTTCCCCCATCCAATTAAAGTATTTTACTGCAACAATCTTTGTGTGAGAGTAAATAAGTGCTCAGGAGAATGATGTGAAGAGAGACCCTTGTCTGAGTTACAGACACTTATAAAGCAGTCTCTCGTGGAATCCGAGGACATATACATCACAACCTTTCCACTGAGGATACCTGTATAGCCCCTGGGGAGGGGAAACCTTCCAAATAACTGTTAGAAGGGGTAAGGACTAGGAAAAGCGGGGCTTACACATTTTCGTTTTTAACCTCCGCACAGCAGACTGTGCTTTTCGTATCATTAGAAAGAGAAGTACAGGTACCACATATGCTGAATTATCACCATCATCACCATTATTCTGAAAACCGTCTTTACAGCTCCATATCATACCCTCCTCTGGCTGAAGAGGGTTTGGGAGCCAAATGTGAATGAGCTCCGTTTCCCTCTCCTTTCCGTGGAAAAGGGGAAAAATAGCATGCGATGACGTCAGGGGCGTGTGTGTGTGTGTGTGTGTGCGCGCGCAAGTCATTCTTGCTCTCCTTTGCTACTTAGGAAGTGGGGGCTCTGAGAGGGTATCTTCTTGGTAAAACAACAGACTGTGAGTCCCCTGAAATGGGTTTTATACAAATAAGACAGTTCGTGCAGTGTTAGAGAAAGTCCAAGACAGAGAAAGAGTCCTGACTGCCGGAAAAGCTCAGAGCTTTCCCTTCCAAGAAAGTGTGTGGAAAGGGGTGGGATCGCGAAGCGCCTGGGTCAGTCTCCTGGCTGCAGCGAAGGGGGAAGCCCTACTCTCACTTTAAGACGTCCCAGGACGAGGCAAGATCATCTGTGCAGGAGGGAATCTCCCAGACACAAGGCAAAACTTTCCTCCTCTCCTCCAGCGCTGTCCGCCCCCCGTTTTATTAAAGACATTTCCACAGATTCGTTGGGGGGGGTGGATGTTGGAACATTTCTAAGCTTTGAAACCTTTGCTGTGTCCGGTTTCACTGTGGGCTTTGCTGTGGAACGGCCTAGGGCACCGAGAGGGAGGCTCAGGAGGGAGAACTCAAATTCATTGCGGGCTCATGAAAGTCCCAAATGAGAAAAGCGCCCCATTTCGCAGCCGAGTTTGGGGAAGACTGGCGGGCTGTGCGCTAGGAAGGTCTCACCCCAGCCCCGAGTGACAGGAGACAGGCTTTAAAAGCAAGGACGTGAGATGGCAGTCCCTGTGTGTGGATGGGGGGCGTGTGTGTTCCCGCGCATCCGTGTGTGTGTGTGTGTGTGTGTGCTCGCGCGCGCGCGCGTGCTAGGGAGAGGGGGGTCCCAGAGGCAGGATTCGAGCACAGAGCAACTTTGGGACACTTTGAGGAGTTCTAAGTCTGGCTGTCACAACAACCTTATCCCTGCTGGCTTATAGGTTAATGGGGCCCAATGGAGAGGATTACCTCCGTCAGAAAGTCAAGGAGACCAACGGGCCCCTAGCCTCCCCTCTCACGCAGCCCAAATGGGTCATCCTCTTCTCTGCCAAACCGACACAGAGCGCATCTGCACATCCCGAGCGCGGGCTGCGCTCAGTGGGCTCCCTGAGGACCGGCCTCTGGGATGAGGATCTGGGTCTACCCAAAGCGCGCCCCAAGTCGCTCCAGCAGGGCAGGCAGCCGTCCGCGCCCGCCCATTCCGCGGATGGGCAAAGTGAGGCTCGTAGCCTGACCCGGGCGTCCCCGCACGGACACACCCGCGAGCCTCGGGCCCGCCCGCCACCCATGCCCTGGCACTCGCGCGCCCCTCGGGGTGCGGGGCCGTGCAGCGCCCACCAGGGCTGCCTCGCCTACCTGTGATCACGGCGGGAGACTTCTGGCCCCCTTCGGCTCGCAGCCACACTTGCAGCGTGAACGTGTCCCGCGGCAGCTCCAGGTCGGCCCGGAGGCGCAGCTGCTCCCTGCGCCCGCTGAAATAGAGCGCCCGGCTCGGCGGGCTCGGTTCCTCCGCGGCGCCCCTCGCCTCCCTCGCCTCCCGC